ATCTTTACATGATATAAGGACAACATGTACACGCACCAAACTACCTCCTGCTACGTGGGACATCATCAAACACCTGGGTATCAATAGCAAACCTGCTCCCCACCGAGGTAAGAGAGGAGGCAATCATTCACGGAATCGGAAACAAATACCTGTCCTTGTTCGACAACGAATTACTAAACGAACTAGTAATAGGCATATCCAACAAGATAGAAACAAATGCCTTATTACAATACATATTGAGAAAACTTCTACACATCAGAATAGGAAACAGAAGTATGATCTACCCTCTGTCCTTTTATTGAATGCTAGATCATTACAAAACAAGTTTGATGATATGTCAGTTGTTGCTGATATAAATAATGCTGACTTAAGTGCAATTACAGAGACTTGGTTCAACGAAAATACCCCTCTGCAGCTTTTTTTATTGTCAAATTACAATTTATTTTTCAAATCCCGAAAGGATCGTGTTGGTGGCGGCGTCGCGCTCCCCCCCCCCCTCGTTGTTATTTAGGGTACGCGTATGCTCGTTTCCTCTTTTTGAAACACCCCCAATCTGAGGACTGCCAATATTTCCGAACCCCCCTTTCGCGGGCTTTTCGCGGGCTTTTCCTGGTTGGAGACCCCCCTAAATTCAGAATAATTTCTCAGGAGACCAAAGAGATGAGAGAAAAAAAAGAAAAACACCCCCTTTTTAAAGAAAACTCCGGGTGAAAAGTCAAATACACCCCCCCTTTTTTTTTTTTTTTTACAATTCTCGGGCCGGACTTTGTCGCACGAAAAGTACCCCTTTACCGGACATTTTGGTAACACGCATGCGGTCATTCCGACCCCGGAGTGGGGGGGGGGGGGGGCGGGCGCGCTTTACGGTAAACAACGACTCAACTGCAAACAACTTCCAGTACAAGTTCCTGACGGCCTAGAGGTCCTGTGGATCCAGATGAGACCACCAAAATTACCACGCCAAGTATCCTCTATTATAATCTGTGTGATCTACTTCCCACCCAGGGACCCGCTTTCACCAGATTATATCGATCACATTACTTCTACCATTGATGAACTACTAATTCGATAACCTGGAGCCGGAATATCCATTATTGGTGATTTTAATGACCTCGATATTGAGCCCGTTCTACAAGATCAACGATTTAAGCAAGTTGTACAGCAACCAACAAGAGGAGAAAATATTTTAGATATGATTATTACAAATTATTCATTATTATATCACTCACCTGAGATTTTATGTCCAGTATCTAATAGTGACCACAACTGTGTTTTGTGGCAACCATGTTTTCCTCAAGCTAACCGTTCAAATAAAATACGCAAAAAAATTGTTCCGACCTTTGACGGATAGTGGTCGAAGAGTTTTTGGATCTTGGATAACCCAACATTCCTGGGAAGAAGTTCTCCAAGCAACCGGCGTCAATAATAAGTTGACAATTTTACTAAGTACAGTTCAGGAACATCTTGATGACAGCCTCCCAGTACGTGAGATTCGTTTCCATGAGGACGATAAACCTTGGATGACATCAGATATTAAGTCAACAATCCAAAACCGACTAAGAGCATGGTGCCAAGACAGTAAACCACTGTAGCGTCATTTTAAGAACAAAGTTGCTAAAGCAGTACCATTAGCTAAAAGTAATTACCATAATACCAGGATAAGCAATTTAAAGAGAGATGATCCTGCTGGTTGGCATAACAAAATAAAAATTCTCACTCAAGGCAGAAAAAACAGACTGCTGTGGAGTGTAGACATTCCTGGAATTGACTCTAGTAATCCAAACTGCTATACTGAAACTGTTAACGAAATTAATGAACATTTTATATCTATTGCTGAAGATTTGCCTCATCTTGATGATAGCTCATTCTTACCTGCATACTTGCCATCACCTGTAAGATGTCCTTCCATTGAATGTCAACAAGTTTATAAGTTGCTTAGTAAAATAAATTTACAAAAATCTAGTATAACGGGAGATTTACCAGACTAAGTAAGAATTCTTCGTGAATTTTCTTATGAATTATGTGTACCATTAGCCGATATTCTTAATGTGTCTTTTGAAATTTGTATTATTCCTAACTCTTGGAAACATGCACAAGTTGTTCCTATACCTAAGAAATATACACCCACAATTACTGATCTTAGACCGATAGCTTTAACAAGTCACTTTGCTAAAATTTGTTAATCCTTTATTGTTAAATTAGTGGCTACTGGAAGATATTGATGGAAAAATTGATATACACCAATATGGAAATCGACCAATGGTATCAACTTGTAATTATCTGATTAAATTGCTACACCAATTGTATGAAAATGCTGATTCACCCAAGTCTATATCTACATTAGTTTTAACTGATCTGTCTAAGGCTTTCGATCGAATAGACCACAACATTTTAATTAGAAAATTAATTGACTTGGGCGTCAGGCCCTGTGTAATTTCATTAGTTGTTAATTTTTTACAAAATAGGACCCAATGTGTGAAATATAGAGGTACAATTTCTGACTCACAATTGATTCATACTGGTGTTCCCCAAGGAACTAAACTAGGCCCTGTACTATTTTTTATAATGATAAATGATGCTTGTAAAGATGAAATTATATCATATTATAAGTATGTTGATGATCTTACACTTGTTGAAAGTAGATAATGTACTCAAATTTCAAGAATGCAAGAATCTCTTAATAACTTTCAACAATGGACTAGTGTAAATAATATGAAATTAAATGCAGCCAAATGTCATGCCATGGTTATTACTTTTATGAAACGACCACCAGTGTTTGAAAATTTACTTATTGGGAATGTTGAATGTTGAAATTTGCTAAAATTCTTGGGGTCATTGTACAAAGTAATCTCAAATGGGACTTACATATCAAAGATACAATGTTAAGGTGTAATAGGAAATTGTATATGCTCCGTAGATTGAAATCATTTAATTTTCCTCGCAATGACCTTTTAACTATATACATGGGATACATACGACCAGTACTTGATTATTGCGTCCCTGTTTTTAATGGAAATATTACTCAAGAGCAAATATTAAATTTAGAACGAATTCACAAGAGAATCCTTAGACTAATATTGGGAGGTGACTATATAACATATGTCAATGCTCTTTCATTGTGTAACTTGACCACACTTGAAGCAAGAAGAAAACAACTCTGTGAACATTTTGTAATATCTTTATAAAGACACCCTGTTTTTAATGATTGGTTACCGTTTAAAAGAGAAAATAGATACAATTTGAGAAACTCAAACAAATATGACACTTTGAAATGTAAAACGCTAAGATTTCAAAATAGTGCTCTTCCTAAACCTTGTTCGCATTTTAAACAATATATAGTTTATTTGTTTATGATTATTTTCTTCTCCTATGTACAATTGTGTATTTGCTGGTTGTATATGCATGGGCATTCTCTGGGTGATGGGCGCCCTTTCCTTGTTGGTGTGATCTAATCTTAATTTATCCATAGCTCTTGTTCCGGTTGCTGGAAGCTGTGAGGGGTGTGTTTTTGTCCTGCCCCCCCCCCACTCAATGTTATTTAGGGTACGCATATGCTTGTTCCCTCTTTTTGAAAGCACCCCTTATCTGAGGACTGCCAACATTTCCGAACCCCCCTTTCGCGGGCTTTTCCTGCCTTGGAGACCCCCCTAAATCAGGAAAAATGCTCAATATACCCCCCTAAATTCGGAATAATTTCTCAGGAGCCCATAGAGATGAGAGAAAAAACGAAAAAACACCCCTTTTTTAAAGAAATCTCCGGGTGAAAAGTCAAATACACCCCTTTTTTTACAATTCTCGGGCCGGACTTTGTCGCACGAAAAATACCCCTTTACCGGACATTTTGGCAACACGCATGCGGTCATTAAGACCCCTGAGTGGGGGGGGGGGGGGGGGGGGGGGGGGGGCCGGGGTTTTTGTCTGCCTTTTGTTTTGCCTGTTCATGCGTTGACTTGTCACGCCTTTTATATTTCTGAGTGAGTGTGGTTTGTTGTGTGCATTATTCAGTAATTCCCGTGTCGGTAAGCGGAACTGGGGAAGCGTGACCGGTCTCGGTCACCTTGGCTTTAACCGGGCTCTCCCAGCTCTGCTCCTCGCTTTATATTGTTTTGTGCGCTTGTTATCTAATTTGTATGTGCTTGAGTGCTGCGTTTGCGGTTTGTGTCTTCGTCATTGGTCCTTGAGTGTGTGTTTTTTGTTTGTTGGTGTTTTGCGAAGTTTGCATAATCCCCTTTTTGTATAGCTTTCAGCAATCGGATCTAGTTATAGTTATAGGGGGAGGGGGTCGTTTGATGAATTATTTTTTTTGAAGGGGAAGGGGCCCACCTCCTGGACATGTGTGCCCATCACCACGAGAATGCCCACTGCCACTCATCACTTTTTAAACTTTTAACATTTACTATTGGTTTGTAACGTGCACTTTGCAATTTTGTTTGTATGTATCTATTTTCAATAATTTATTTTGTATATCTTTAAATGTAACAAATGTGCAATTCAGCCTTTGGCTGCTAAGCATTTGACGAATAAACTCTTTTTGAATTGAATTGAATTGAAATGTAGGATAGTGAAACAGCCTACTTTGTTTCCTATTTAGCTTGTAAATAGACTGCATTATATTTATCCTTTTATTATTGTCACTATGTACATGTATATATACTTTGTGTTTACTAGTTGGTTCATTGTTCATGTTTGTACTTTCATACACTATATACCTATTATCATTTGTATCTTTGTGTCATTATCTATGTATAACGTATGTGAATTGCATTCATAAGTCATGCATTGCTATTTATATTTTTATGTTTGTTTGTACGTCAATAAAATTCTAAAATTCTACAATTCTACAATTCTTCAATTATTGCATGATATCTATAATAGCAAGGATTGTTTCTGATAATTCTTATATGGAAAATATCCCCGAACCAAAAACGAAACCAGAAGGAAGCCTACAAGAAACACTAAAATATATATGTCATTGTTATCCTCTCTCGATCTCGATGCAGGTCCTCTGGTATCATACGCCCTCAACTTTGTAGGATGTCGTACAGTGATGATGACAAGCGGTGTTCTCATATCTTCAGGGATATTCCTCACGGCGTTCGCACGACATATTGCCTTCGTTTGGGTTGGATACAGTTTGCTTGGAGGTAAAAACTAATTTTGCTGAATTAAACTTTTTTCCGTCAACCGAAAAGGACCATGAGAGGAGAAAGAGAAAGAGAGAGAGAGAGATAGAGAAATAGAGGGAGAGAGAGAGAGAGAGAGAACGAAAACTTAGTAGACAAGTGAGCTTCTGTACTTTTTTAGTTGTATCATTTAGACCCTATTTTATTAGGCTCGGGTTTATTTTTTCATTATGATACTCGTTGCACACGAAGCGTCAATTCGATGCGTCAATGTTACTTACGCAAATAAAGGCTATCATGAGGAGATAAGCACATGCGCCAATACTTTCCAGGCAATGTTTGCATTGTTCATTTTTGCTTTTTCTCGCATGGTGGGTCAAACACCGCGAAATATAATCACATTTTCACTCATTGAAGATAGTATCTGTCATTTTCACATGGCGCAAAATTGACCACACCAATTACTGATGCAGTAGCTACGTCTACAAAATAGGGACTTTTAGATTTGCACGTCGACAGATTTGACTGCAACGTGTGACGTCATTTTAAGGCACTGCGCATGCGTCACGTCGTCTCAGTCGGCGATCGAGAATGCGTCAACCTTGATTTTCCTAAATCTAGTACGGTACTAGTATATATGCCGCGTGCGCATAAAATATACAGTTCCTCAGGTAGACAAAGGAACATCCCTTCCCTGCTATTATGTAAAAATGTGTAGAACAGGTGTCACATGCATATTCACCTGTTCTACACATTTTTACATAATAGCAGTGAAGGGATGTTCTACCACAGCAATAGGCCATTTTCGTAATGTAACCACATTTAATGCATAAGTCTTTGTGAAGTGCCTCAATACAAATTATTTCATTCACCTGGTAAGAACAATAGTATTTCAATAAACATAATCCAAACTGCATACATTAGTTGTTGCCAGGTTGGACAAACATTATGGCCTGACCTACCTAACAACACTTGATAAATGCAGTTTGCATTCTGACTATTGAATTACTATTATTCTTAGCAGGTGAATGAAGTAATGTGTATTGAGGCAATTCACAAAGACTTGTGCATTAATTTGGTAACATTACGAAAATAGTCTATTGTTGAGGGTAGAATGAGGAACTGTATATTTTGTCTTCTTTCTTTGTCCGTCATGTTCATAGTGTTACTTCCTGCATCGTCGAGTGCAATCTAAAAGATTTCTAATTGTAGTTGCAACATGGGCAGTTGAGTAGGTTGACACGCATGATCAGTAGGCGTTCGTCGTGTTCTCGTCCACTCAATCTAAAAGTCCCTATTGACGTTTCGTGTACAACGGGCCTGATTTCTAATGTATATGTACCAACGCAAATTAAGTGATTAAGAAAATAAGCGCATGTACCAATTCCACTCAAAGCTTGCATCGTTTATTTTGCATTCACTATTGTTTTCATTTTTACACGATGCGTCAAAAATCACACCAGTTGCTGACGACCTGACACAGTCTTGTGCCAGTAGCACGAGCAACGTGTGTTGCTCTCTTTGGAATCATAAAGAAGATTATGTGTTCATCAAGTCTTTGATTTTATGTTTACACGGTGTTTAGGGATCGGAGCGAGTGCCATCTACACAGCATCTGCAGCTACCATTCGACAGCACTACTCTGACCGCCACTACGCCCTAGCTAATGGAGCTGCAACAACTGGCATCCATATCTCGGTGTTTGTCTTATCTCCAGTACTCCGAGCCCTTGCTTTTGCCTACGGATGGAGAGGGGCTTTGGTCATTGGCTCGGGCATAACGCTCAACAGTATCGTCATTGGCGCACTCATGAAACCCGAGGTCGTCAGAAAGCGAGGGCCCGTGGTCGGTGATGAGGGCGAAATAGGCAACGTCAATGACCACGACGACGATAAAGGTGATGTTGACAACGGGACTAATGAGCTTCTGCTTCGACCATCCCCGTCTGACCATCAAACTACTGCTACCGTTCTGGAGTCTTCAGAATCACATGACCAAGGAAGTTCTGCAGGAGTTTGCAAAGACTGTAGTGGATCGCTGAAGAACCAAAGTTGTTATCCGAGAGCACCTATGGGCATTACAGTCCCATGTGATGATCAAGAGCAACATGGTGATTTGGATGAAGATATCGACGATAATAAGAATGAGATTCAAATTCTTGCGGATTTTGATATGGATGGCGACATCCATTCGGGAGTCTCTATCACGGATGACAAAGAAGGTCCTCAATCAACATTCTCTGGAATAGACCATGTTTCTAACTGTAGTCCATCTAGTGTGAATGATATGCGAAAGGGTGACAAATATCATAGTCTCGAGAGTGCAAATGTTGTTAAATCTACTTTTAGAATATCCAGTCTTTTCAAGTTTAGCGCTAAACCCCTCACGAGGACAACCAAAATTTGTCATGTGGCACTCCTTATCGCTGCATTTTTCCTGGCAGCAGCTTACGTGACTGTTAACATTTTCATCGCCTCGGCTGGGACTCATGTAGGACTCTCTTCCATGCAAGCAGCCACACTTCTCTCCGTCTTCGGGGGTTCTCAGGCTGTTGGTAGTTTCTTCAATGGCATTATTGTGAAGAAGGGTTATGTGAAAGCCGCGCATCTCTACATAGGCGCGCAGATACTGATGGCATCAGCCTTTTTGGTCCTCGGACTTCTGATGAGGGTTTACGTGGTCGCCATCTTGGCATCATTAGCATTCGGAGTGTCCGCTGGGGCTATCATCTCACTCGACATCGTCATGCAGAGGGTGGTCGATGACAGTGCGACGTCGATCTCGTTAGGATGGCTACTATTCTTCGAGACTTTCGGTGGCCTCTTCGGCAACTTAGTATTAGGTAAATCCTTTCTCCGATTGACAATACTTTTGAGTTCATTTGTCTTATTCTTGTAGATTTCTTTATTACGTTGTAGTGATTAACGATGTTGTTTACACAATTTGTTTTTTAACCCTCGCGTAGATCTTTATAGTTTTCTAAAGATGGATTTGGTAACACTATGATGAGAAGCAATAGCGTAGCATTGGTTTAGCAATTCAGGGGCTCTGGTGTCACGGTGTAGTGACATTCGGTCTTATGACTTGGGGGGGGGGGGGGGAATCGTGAGAACCGTTGAGGCCATCGGTAATAGGGGAGGGTGTTCGAGTTGGTTATTGTCATCTTTTCATTTGCTTTCCCTCAACCCCCTCCCCCTCTCTCTCTCTCGCTCTCTCTCTCTCTCTCTCTCTCTCTCTCTCTCTTTCCTTCTCTCTTTCTCTTGCCATTCGCTTTAACCCTTACTGTACTGGGGGGGGGGGCCTGGGAGGCCCCCCTCGACATTTTCGGAGATCGCGCCGCAACAGCTTGGAATTTTGAATTGTCGTTTCATGACTTTTTTTCCTCAAGTCTTGCACACATTTTGATACCATTTTCGTCAAAATCGGATATACCTGTAAGGTGTTACATAACAATTAGTATGCGCATGTCATAAAAAAAAGCTATAATTGCATATATTCATGTACAAGCAGAAATGTGAAGATACGAATTGATATCAAATTGCTTTTATATGTTTCTCAGAGTAACTTGATGTATTTCAGAACAAAAGAATACATTAGAAATAAAACAATAGATATAATAAGAAATAAAAAACAATTAAATACATAAGAAAATAAATAGTTGAAAATCGCATCAAATTTGCATAAATTATCATTATTAATTACATCAAATAACTATTTTGTGTTAGAAAAGAAGTTTCAGATGAATAATGAGTTTCAACATTCAAAAAGTGGAGTCTGACAATTTTTGTAATGATTCTAGTTCCCTAAATATAGTTCCAGATTTGATATTCATGAATGCGTAATTTGCGTATTCATAATTTATGCAAATTAACCTATGAATTTTCAAATATCATAAAAATAATGAAACCTCATGAATTTGAGATGAAGGAAGCATTTATTCAATACATTTTCAAGATTCTTTACAAGTCTACGGACAAATATGTAGAGTTTTCTGTAAAATTCATAAAATTAGTATTTTGCATAATTAATGAGGCTATAACGACAAAAATTTGCATATTAGGAAAAAACTAATTATACCATCTTGTTCCTTACGTAAATATCTACAAATATGCAAATTTTCGCGTTCATCGGACATTCGACGACCGAGATCATAGGGGGGGGGGGGGCCTCCCAGCCCCCCCCCCCCCCCCCCCAGTCAGAGGGTGCTCAAAATAGCCCAGTACAGTAAGGGTTAAGGAACATGTACCTCCGTCTACTCTTGATATACCACTGAATAGAAGCTATTGAAATACAAAAAAAAGTTGTGAATCTTCTAAATAAAACAAAACACAATTAAATTCTCGTGATTCTTACAGGTTGTACGTAATCTAAGTATTGTTGATTCGTCCTATAATTCCTTTATAAACCTTTGTTTCTCTGTAGGTTGCCTGAAGGACTTGACTGGTAGCTTTGTGCTCATGTTCGTTCTGGCTGCAGTCTTCACATCACTCTCTGTTGCCCTCACCGTTATCATCCTTATACTCAAGAAGCGGGAGATGATGTTCTTGAAAAGGAACATAAAATCCAACGAAGCAATCTAGACTTCCTGGCTGATTCCGCCTTTAAAGAAAATGAACCTTACTATTTTGCAGCGTATTAGGCCTATCAGATGACACAACCTATTAACAATGTTAGAACAATTAAAAGTGGAACTTAAGGCTTAACCCCGGGCTAACACCCCCCCCCCCCCCTTAGCCCCACCTATGGTCCGGGGCTAAGCAAAATTTTACCAGTGTGAAAAGCATAAGAATAAGTGTACCAACTCTAGAAGTAGGACTAATGTAGCACAGACTCATGATGTTTTATAAAGTTATCAACAATTATTTAGTAAATCTCTGTAAAAGAATTACGCCAGCAAATAGAATATGCAGAAGTTACCATTAAATAAGAAGATGTTTCTGCCTCTTGCAAAAGGTTGACTACAACAACTCATTTTATGTGAGAACTGCCAACGAATGGAATATGCTCCCATGCGATGTAATAAATAACCCAACTCTCTCAGCTTACAAAACCTCACTAAAGATCTATCTTCATAATTTTATAAGGATTTATATACCCTCTTTAGAAATCTAGCCATCTGATTGGTCGAACTTGCAGTCGTGATTTTGGATATTCCCGCAAAGAGACGAACACATAGTCAATAGTTCATGAGTGATATCCGTTGCCCCGGGTAGCAGGCCGCAATGTGCTCAGATCCCCATTTTCTTTGTGCGAGCGTGGACACCATACAGTGCTTTTTGTCTGCGATTCCAAAATGATTGAAACTTTCAGTTATTTTTCTAGCAAAGATAACTGAACAGACAGTTTTTTTTTAGATTTTCCGTGATGTTTAACCAATCTTTACTCAATAAAAGGATCAGGTAAGAATTCTTGGTAGATTTTTGTTTCGATTCAGCATATAAAAGAGATATCGACTGCTTTTATATTCGAGGCCTGGCTGTTTTATATGCTCTCGGGAACTTGCACATCTTGCACCCAGGCGCGCCTCTGGGTCATGGCAAGATGCGCGCATGTTTCCATGAGCACATAAAACAGCCAAGCCTCTCATAGCAGTCGATATTTATATTCATATAAGTTATTACATAATTCCTTTTCTTTAAATAATACTATTATTCTTTCTCTCATATTTTATGAACAGTGTATATAGTCAATTATCCATCATCTACTACCTGATAATAATACCTTTATGGTTATGCAATGTAATACTCAACTCTTTAATAATTTATATTTAATAATTTATTGTCAACATTTCAAAGTTTACATGCTACGAAATTTGATTGTGTGTTTTTATTCTTGTTTACCTCCTCAACTATTTTACCGATATATATTACTTTGTTTCCTATATTGTTTTAATGGTCATGTATCGTGTTATATTTGTTTACTGACATCATTTTGTACGGGGGATACAGCGTTGTACGGGGTGTCAAGCCTTCGGCTGCATCCCCGGACGTGACTGTTTGGTTATCACTGAATGTCTGAATAAATAGAATATAATACCATAGTGCTGGACTCAAGTTACATAATGCATGGCCGTACAAAGGATTTTTTTATGTTGGGGACCGGGGTAAAATGCAATGAAGTTATTGATAATTTATTGCATTTTCCGTTGTTTTTTTAATTTGTGGGGACTGCCCCCTACCCTAGCCTCCGCTGCGTACAGTCACATGGTTCAGTGGCAAAGCAATGGCCTCGTAACTGTGAGGCCCCAGGATCAAAACCGTGTCAATGTGCTATATTAGTGCCCTTTTGTGGGGCATTAATCCTCATTACTGTCATTTATGACTTAAGGGCGTAGGTCCTCTAGTTCATAAGCATAATAGCATACACATGCTTTAGCAGTCACGCAAAAAAAAAACACTGGCAAATTATTATTCAATAAAATCTGAGAATGAATACTGTTATCTAGATCTTTAGGAATAAATCATTGTCAAAACAATTCCATAAATTGAGGTAAAACAAAAATATTCCAACTTTATGAGCAACAGTGTATTATTATTATTATCAACATAAAAGTCATAATTTGATATGCGCTCCAAACGCAAGCACTCGCACACACTTGCACATGCACATAATATTATACATAAATGAGAACATAAACGTTTTTACACAAGCCAAACCTTTACCTAAAGGCCCGGTCACACAGCCCTCCGGCGGGCGTATCGCGGCCGAATCACGGCCAAAAATTTCTGCCCGTGAAGCAGACGCTGTTGGACGCTTTGAGGTCGCGATAAAGACGCGATACAGCCGTACTTTACCCGTCGTTACACGCGGTAAGAAATTCACACGCGGTTGGCCGCGCGAAAAAGTTTTGGGCTGCCCAAAAATTTAGACCGCGGGTAATCGCGGGCGGTACACGTGGTACACACGCGGTAAAGACGCGGTACAGACGCGGAACGAACGTGCTAGGACGTGCTACGACCGCGGTTAAGACGTGGTTACACGCGGAATTGGACGCGAAATTTTAGCGGGTAATCGCGGGTGGAGCACGGTCATAGCACGTTTGTTCCGCGTCTGTACCGCGTTGTTATCACGTGCATTAGCGTGTGTACCGCGTGTAAGCGTGGTAGGCCGCGGTACCGCCGCGCTTCACCCGCGATAAGGACGCGGAACAGTCGCCGGCGTCTGTTCCGCGGGCATACCACGGGTAAACCGCGGGTAAGCCAATTTTGCACATTTTTCCACCACGGGCAACCGCGGGCAAAAAAAAAATCGCGAAATTTTACCCGCGATACAGACGCGAAAGGCTGTGTGACCGGGCCTTAATATACACATTTAAAATTAACATCTCCCTATCTCTCTCTCTCTCTCTCTCACTGCTGAACAGTAAACTATGCGAACATGGAGAGACTTGCATATTTCAAAAGACACGCTTGATTGGTACATAAAAGATACTTTGTGAACGAATACACGGTCGAATGATTTAAAGAGATTTCATATTTATTTCCTCCTACCGTTGCAATACGTTCCAGGGTCCCTTTCAACAGAGAAACTGCCTGGACTAATTGAGATTTTCTGTTTTCCTCACAAGACTGATGGCCTTTCATGCTAACGTACGTGGCTCTGTGTAAACTGTTTCATTGATAGAACCAGGGAGTTCCACTGATCCTAACTCCCTGATATAATCATCGGTGTTTCAGTCATTGTTAGTGGATCAATGCCAACTTCATTATAGCTACGACTTGAAAGCGTAGTCAGCTAATCGTCTGTATAAACTCCATATAATATTTAATTCTAAGAAAGTGTACAATAAATATACTGGGCTGCATATATTGTTTCGACGTACATCTTGACTATATTAAAAACGGACGTCTTCAAGCTTTAGTGGACGATGTCGAATTTAAAACGTTTCTTTTCGCTGTGGCGGTTGGCGTTCGCGTTCCACGTCTGCCTTGCATTCGCCCGTGGTATACCGATGTCCTTGCCGGTGATCATCGACGATATCGCAGAAGACCTTCAAACGACCACGGCTGCAGTCGGGATTATACTTGCATCTTATCTTGTTCCTTTTGGTATTTCAGGTAGGCCTGTTAACATTTAATTTAGATAAATTACAGCATCATTTCATTTTATTTTATATACCCTACTTTTTACCCAAGGAAATTATTAATCAAATAATAGATTGGGGGCGGGGGGGGGGGGGGGGGTCGGCGAGGATAATCTAAAGCCCGATATTTGGACAGTGAGGACACCGTAAAACCTAATACTCGATCAACTAGGTGCCCAAATATCCTCATATTCGTGAAAATTCGCTCATGGCTCGCAATGAGTTGCTTAAATACCCCTCCCCCCATATTATTTTAAAACTGCGTCGGCTTTTTGCATTGAAGGCAAGATATATACAGCCTTCAGGTTAGGGTATTAGTTGAAATTGGAATATTTTTCAAATATTTATTGTCCATTCGGAAATGTGTTTTCACCGGTAAAAGTTTGCAGAGATCAATTTACAAAATATAAATAATCATAATTGTAGACAGTAATTGTTATGGTAAACTAAATTCATAACAGCTTTAGTTGGATAAGGTACTTGGAATACGTTTTGTACGATGAGGATGAGAGAGCGAGAGAGTTGAAGAGGACCAAAAAGGCAGATAGGCAGAGGAGGAAGATAAAACCGAGAAAGTCAACATCAGGGCCCCTTCTTACAAAGAGTTGCGATTGATCCAAATCAATCGCAAGTCTTGTTATCAATCGTAAGTTTTCTACGGCAGGCAGCCAGCTTATGTACATAGTTGTGATTGATATCAATCGCAAATAAGTTGCGATTGAACTCATCTCTTCATTTGTGATAACAAAATAACTTATCCATCACATTCTCTGATCATTTCTTTTCTGTGTGTGGCGTAACAATATGTATTATATGTTTAATCTTGAAAAAGTGTTTCAATGGACAGATTTATGGTGTGTAAATAACTGAAATATAATTAGTTTATATAACCCCATAATGCTGAGTAAATCACAATTTTTATGTTTCATTGCGCCATACATAATTATGTGGGTAATATCCATCATTCATATTACTTCAACTCATAATGAACATTGATTCAAATACAAGGTCTTCATCAGGTAATACATATTTGAGATCATGATTTTTTTTTTTACATTCTTTCATTTTTTGAAAGCAAAAAATGCGCGTTGCATCAACCCGTATCTTATTCCTAAGTATTGTTGCAAGAATGTTAAAGATAAACTTGAGTTCTGGTAAAAAAAAGAAAATGAATTCTCACAGAATCTAACGAAACTTACACTGAATGTTCAAGATTACAAATAAATGTCATGTGCCAAACAATTTTGGAAGAAAATGTATACTGGCTGAGTAATGAGCAAAGAAAGATAAGGAAATCAGGGTAGTACTAGCCCCGACACCATGTGTGTTGTCCCATATACATCTTTCTGTGTAAGTGATTGTTAATTTACCAAGACTCTACCAAATTTATAATGATTTTGATGACTCCAGAATCTTGCATTACACACCATTACTTACATGCTATATGATCAACTTTTCTGATCCATTCCACACCTTTTCTTTCACAATGCAATCGCATTACCAGAACTCAACTTTATCTTTAACATGATTGCCATGCGTTGAATCTTGACTGTACTACTACTACTACTACTACTACTACTACTACTGACTGTAGACTAAACGTCAATAAACCAGAGTCTGTATCCACAGACTACCCTTACCGAAAATGCAGGCTTATTTAACCTGCTTTGAACCTGCGTCTGGCCTGCATTCTTAAATACATGCTAATTATTCTTTTGCATGTTAAATTTTAGCCTGTATTTTGCAAAATCAGTCTTACATGTTTTAGCAGGTTAAATTTTAGCCTGCATTTTGCAAAATCAGTCTTACATGTTTTAGCAGGTTAAATTTTAGCCTGTTATTAGCATGCATTTTGCAAAACACAGTCTTACAGTTTAAGCAGGCTAAATCTCAGCCTGCAGTTTAAAATTAGCATGCGTTTTGCAAAATACAGTTTTAGCAGGTTAAATCTTTAGCATGCCAGATGAGATGCAGTTTAATCTTTAGCATGTAAATTTCTATCATAATTTGTTAAACCTGCAATCTGAAGAAATGTCCTCTGAGCAGGTTTAGAACACAAATTTAACCTGTTATTGCTTTTTACATGTAGCCTGCAGGTTATATTTTTCACATGCACGTTTAATGTTATATATCAGGGGTGATTTGAGAGTTTAAACAAAAATAGGTTCATAGAAAGCCGAGCAAGCGAGGTTTCGAGCGCTTGGGGGGGCATCCCAAGACAAAAATCCAATTGAAACCAATTGAACACCAATTTAATTTTCATTTTTTCAATTGGTCTTTAATAGGACTTCAGTTGGTTTCAATTGGTCAAGTTTGGCCCTATTGGACCAATTGGCCTAGGCTCCATTAGACTTTAATGGGAACTCAATTGGTTTCAATTGGACCAATTGGCCCTATTTTGGACTTCAATTGGTCCAATTCAGTTTCAATTTCAGTTTATTTTCATATTTCACATGTTTATTTCATTGCATTTGGCATGTTACATTTTTTGTAATCATTTTTTTGGGGGGGATGCATTTATACAAACGAACAGAATAAGTACATAAGACTAAGTTAAATAAAGGAAGAAATATGATGGAGCCTAAAGAGAGAGCAATGCTTTTAGGTCGTAGTTATAACATTGATATAGTCTTGTGTTTATTAGATATCATAATTGGATTAATTGCAACTTATAAGAAGAAAAGATATATTTGAAACCAATTGAAAACCTTACAGTCTATGGGGCTGATTGGTCCAATTGAAGTCCCATTTAAGTCTTATTGGGGCCAATTGGTCCAATTGAAACCATTTGAAATATCTAATGGGGCCAATTGGTCCAATTGAAACCAATTGAAATCCCGATTAGAGTCAAATGGGGCCAATTGGTCCAATTGAAACCAATAAGACCAATAGATCTACCAATAGGAACAATAGGACCAATATAAACCAATAAGACTAATTGAACCCAATGGGACCAATAGAAATCAATAGAAACCTTCATTTATGTTAGCCTGCCTTTTCGATTAGCATGCTAAAATTAACCTGCAATACGTATCTCATGAATATTCATTATTACTTTACACATCTCACAGAAAAATACATTTATCATGATTAATTGTTAAGCAACTTATGACAATTAATGCACATATCAATTTTGTGATTGAATTTTTCTTTGGAATTATTGACCAATAGATTATTTGTCTGATCACACTTACATTCATGTTTTAGCAATAGATATATTGATTATACGATTACTAACCAATTTAAATAGCATGTATATTTTCTATATATACGTGTATGAGCCTGTACTTTTACAAAAGTCAATATTGTATTAACTTCAAATGATCTTTGTGATGGAGTTAGTCTAATGCAATTGAGATTAGAATATTCCTATTGGTTGACACTTGCGAATATTGATTATGATATATCAATTTATCCCCCGTTCCTCTATCCGAGTCGATATACCAATGGAAGTCTTGTACTGATAATGATGGCAATCAAATATCTTCATTTTTGTTAGCCTGCATTTTAGATTAGCATGCTAAAATTAACCTGCATAACTTACATATTTCAGCATTTTTGCAGGCTAACAAAGCAGGTTAATTTTGCATACTAAAAAAGCAGGGCAATTTTGCAGGCTAATTGAGCAGGTTAAAATGATTTAGCAGGCTAAAATAAGCCTGCTTTTAAAATGTACAGGCTAAATTAAGCCTGCCTAATTTGCATATTTCGGCGTTTTTGCAGGTCAGTGCTTGCTAAGGAATTAGCCTGCTTTTTAGCATCTATGCAGGCTTGATGCAGGCTATAAGCAGGCCTGCCTTTTCGGTAAGGGTAGTCAGAGTGAATCTAGGTATAGATTAATTATTTTAGTATTGTCAGTGCCTGGGTATTTGGAAGCATTGACAAAGTTTTATCGTGTCTTTATTATTGCATGATATCTAACTATCTTATCAATTCCACCAGAAAACATATCGTGGTGATAATCTAAATGTTACGACATGCTCAAATTGGGTCTTTATGTTTCCTGGAGAATTGTTTTCATTGTTGATTTACAATTCAGTCCAACGACATTGAGGAAGCAAATATTCGTTCCATGCAGGGACTAATGCTAATAATACATACTTATCAAAGGGAAATCGGTTTGTCTATGAATTACAGCAGTATAAAAGTAGAGCGGTTCCAACTGCATGCAATATCCCATTGTACGACTTCAATGTGCTCGATCTGCTCAGAGCCGGGCTCAGGTTGACATGGTTCAACAGACATTGTTATAACGGTGTTTGTTCGTTGAGTTTAAACAGGATGAAGGTACAGGCAAAAACTTTTCATTATTCTAAAGCCATTTACTGGTTTGTATCGGTTGTTATTGCAAGTTACGCTATATTGCATTCTGTCGTGCATTGTTATATTGTTCATGCTGTTAGAGACGACCTCTAAACCCGATGCCAATGAAAGGGCATTTTCTGGAAAAGGGGGGTACTTACAAGGGGAAACCTCAAAGCGAAAATATGCAAGTTTTAGACTACAATGTGATTACATCGTCAGGGATAGTTTCACTATTTGTGTCTCCCTTTAAATGGTCCAAGATACTCCTAAAAGCTAAAGTTGAGATCTGGTCATGCGATTGCATTGTGAAAGAAACGGTGTGAAATCGATCAGAAAAAGGTTGATCATTTAGCATTTATAAATGTCAGTAGTGTACTGCAAGGTTCTGGAATCATCAAAATGATAAGAAATTTGGCCCAGTCTTGGTTAAGTTACAAGCAAGGGTGTCGATTTGAACCCGTGGTTGGGGGGGGGGGGGGGGGTGATAGGTGCCAAAATATTTTCGGCAATGGATCAAAGCAACCAAGAGATAGAAGCGTGTGGCAGTTTGCACCCCCTCCCCAAGCGCGTAGCCAGGATTTCATTTTAGGGGGGCGGTAGTGAGCAAGCGAAGCACGCTCCCTAGGGAGTTGGATGCAGGGAGGGGGAGTTTCCCCCCTCCCCCGCGAGGCGCGGAAGCTCTGACGTGTCCTTAGATTAATAAAGAAAGAAGACGATTCGACGTACCATTCTCGACTCTTAATCCTTAATGTTAGAATCAAGTTCCCCTTCTTAGCGCGTAGCGCGGAAGCTCTGACGTTTCATTAGATTATTAAAGAAAGTAGACGCTTTGTTGTACCGTTCTCGACTCTAAATCCTTGTCTAAATTAAGTTTCCCCGCTCCCGCGCGAATCACGGAAGCTTTGACGTTTATTAGATTATTAAAGATAGAAGACGATTCGATGTACCATTCTCGACTCTTAATCCTTGTCTGAGTTTAGTTCCCCCCCCCCCCCCCCGCGGAATTTTTGACGTTTCATTAGATTATTAAAGAAAGAAGACGATTCGTTGTACCATTCTCGACTCTAAATCCTTGTCTGAATTCAGTTCCCCTTGTCCGCGCGTAGCGCGGAAGCTCTGACGTTTTATTAGATTATCAAAGAAAGAAGACGATTCGATGTACCATTCTCGACTCTTAATCCTTGTATGAATATAGTTTTCCCCCCTCAATTCAATTTATTCTTGTCTCATATACGGTTGTCTCATTTACTTGGTATATATGTATGTATTATGAAAATGAGAAAGCAAAATGTGAATATTGATGGTCATCTTGCGAGTAATAACCATTAACTACTCTAATCGGGCTCTCATCATTAATTTTTCTCTTCTTTTTCTGTTGTTGTTGATGGTGAATTATTGGGGGGGGGGGGGGAATGATTGTACAGGCCATCCCCCCACCTCAAATATTGGGGGGATATATCCCCCCATCCCCCCCCCCCCCTCGGGATCGACACACATGGTTACAAGCATGTACACAGAAAGATGTATATATGGGACTAGACGAACATGTGGCATAAAAATCTGTCCCGATTTTTATGCTGTACGTTACATGACATAAAGAGGAAAAATTAATCGTGATGAGCTGCAATCTCGCCGCAAAAGACTGAAAAGGTCCTTAATAAGTTACATGATTATATCAATTATTCTAGGGGGGGATTAAATAAAAAGTTGCTCTTAGTCGCTTTGAATAAGGGGCAGGTGTAATAGAGAAAGGAAAAGAGGGCCTTTATCAGACGGGGAAAAGGACGCTTATTAGGAAAAAGGAGCACGTGTCTAAGTAAAAAAGAAATTATCAGAGGTGAAAAGGGGCACTCCTTGCAACAGAAAAGGGGCACTCACCAGAGATGAAAAAGGCACTTATCAGAAGGAAAAAGGGTACTTATTGGAAATAAAAAGGGGGCATGTATCAAAATAAAAGAAGGTACTTATCAGAGGTGAGAATTAGAAGGGGAAGGGGCACTTGTATACAATGGAAAAGGAGTACTTATCAAAGTAAAACGGGCACCTCTCATATTTGAATAAGGGCAATTATCAGAGGTGAAAAGGGCACTTCTCGTACCTAAAAATAGGGCACTCACCAAAGAAGAAAAGAAGTACTTATGAGAAATTACAGTTTTCTTTCTTACGTCATTACTTTTTCTCAGTTGGTTAGCAAGGATTATTTTTGATAATTCGTATATGGAAAATATCCCAAAACCAAAAGTTAAACCAGAATAAAGCCTACAAGGAACACTAAAATATATATTTCATTGTTGTTTTTCCTCTCTCGATCTCGATGCAGGTCCTCTGATGTCATACGCCCTCGACGTTGTAGGATGTCGTACAGTGATAATGGCAGGTGGTGTTCTCATATCTTCAGGGATATTCCTCACGGCGTTCGCACGACATATTGCCTTCGTTTGGGTTGGATACTGTTTGCTTGGAGGTAAAAACTAATTTTGCTAAATTACACCTTTTTTTTCTCCATCAACCGAGAAGGACCATGAGAGGAGAAAGAGAAAGACAGAGAGCGAGAGAGAGAGAGAGAGAGAGGCTGAGAAGGGTGAGAGGGGGAGAGATAGAGAAATAGAGAGAGAGAGAGAGAAAGAGAGAACAAGAGGGATAAGAGAGAGAGAGAGAGAGAGAGAGAACGAAAACTTATTAGACTGGTAAGCTTCTGTACTTTTTAGTTGTATCATGTAGACCCCTATTTTTTCGATATGACACTCGTTCCACATGAAGCGTCAAGTCGATGCGTCAATGTTACTTACGCAAATAAAGGCTATCATGAGGAGATTAACGCATGCGCCAATACTTTCCAGGCAATGTTTGCATTGTTCACTTTTGCTTTTTCTCGCATGGTGGCTCAAATACCGCGAAATATAATCAATTTTTCACTCATTGGAGATAAGTATCTTTAGCTGTCAATTTCACATGACGCAAAAATGACCACACCAGTCGCTGACGCAATAGCTACGTATACAAAATGACGTTTCGTGTACAACGGGCCTGATTTTGAATGTATATGTACCAACGAAAATTAAGTGATTAAAAAAATAAGCGCTTGCACTATTTCCACTCAAAGCTTGCATCGTTTATTTTTGTATTCACTATTGTTTTCATTTTTACACGATGCGTCAAAAATCACACCAGTTGCTAACGGCCTAACACAGTATTGTGCCAGTAGCACGAGCAACGTGTGTTACTCTCTTTGGAATCATAAAGAAGATTATGTGTTCATCAACTCTTTGATTTTATGTTTACACGATGTTTAGGGATCGGAGCGAGTGCCATCTACGTAGCATCTGCAGCTACCATTCGACAGCACTACTCTGACCGTCACTACGCCCTAGCTAATGGAGCTGCACTAACTGGCATCTCGATTTCAGTGTTTGTCTTATCTCCAGTACTCCGAGCTCTTATTTTTGCCTACGGATGGAGAGGGGCTTTGGTCATTGGCTCGGGCATAACGCTCAACACTGTCGTCATTGGCGCACTCATGAAACCCGAAGTCGTCAGAAAGCGAGGGCCCGTGGTCGGTGATGAGGGCGAAATAGGCAACGTCAATGACCACGACGACAATAAAGGTGATGTTGACAACGGGACTAATGATCTTCTGCTTCGACCATCTCCGTCTGATCATCAAACTACTGCTACCGTTCTGGAGTTTTCAGAATCACATGACCAAGGAAGTTCTGCAGGAGTTTGCAAAGACTGTAGTGGATCGCTGAAGAACCAAAGTTGTTATCCGAGAGCACCTATGGGCATTACAGTCCCATGTGATGATCAAGAGCAACATGGTTATTTGGATGAAGATATCGACGAGAATAAGAATGAGATTCAAAGTCTTGCGGATTTTGATACAGATGGCGACATCCATTCTGGAGTTTCTATCACGGATGACAAAGGTTGTCCCCAATCCACATTCCTCGGAATAGACCATGTTTTTTATTGTAGTCCATCTAGTGTGAATGATGTGCGAAAGGATGACAAATATCGTAGCCTCGAGAGTTCAAAGGTTGTTAAATCTACTTTTAGAATATCCAATCTTTTCAAGTTTAGCGCCAAACCCCTCACGAGGACAACCAAAATTTGTCATGTGGCCCTCCTTGTCGCTATATTTTTCCTGGCAGCTACCTACATAACTGTTAACATTTTCATCGCGTCGGCTGGGACTCACGAAGGACTCTCTCCCATGCAAGCAGCCACACTTCTCTCCGTCTTCGGGGGTTCTCAGGCTGTTGGTCGTTTCTTCAATGGCATTCTTGTGAAGAAGGGTTACGTGAAAGCCGCGCATCTCTACATAGGCGCGCAGATACTGATGGCATCAGCCTCTTTGGTCCTCGGACTTCTGATGAGGGTTTACGTGGTCGCCATCTTGGCATCATTAGCATTCGGAGTGTCCGCTGGGGCTATCATCTCACTCAACATCGTCATGCAGAGGTTGATCGATGGCAGTGCGACGTCGACCTCGTTAGGATGGCTAGTATTCGTCGAGGCTTTCGGTGGCCTCTTCGGCAACTCAGCATTAGGTAAATCCTTTCTCCGATTGACAATACTTTCGAGTTCATTTGTCTTATTCTTGTAGATGTTGTTATTACGTTGTCGTGATCAACGATGTTGTTTACACAATGTATTTTAACCCTCGCGTAGGTCTTCATAGTTTTCTAAAGATGGATTTGGTAAAACTATGATGAGAAGCAATAGCGTAGCATTGGTTTAGCCATTCAAGGGCTCTGGTGTCACGGTGTAGTGATATTCGGTCTTAAGACTTGGGGGGGGGGGATTGTGAGAACCGTTGAGGCCATCGGTAATAGGGGAGGGTGTTTGATTTGGTTATGTCATATTTTCATAGTGCTATCCCCATCTTATTTGCTTTCCCTCCACCCCCTCTCTCTCTCTTTCCTTTTCTCTTTTTCTTGCCATTCGCCTGGAGGGACAGGTACCTCCGTCTCTACTCTTACTACACTACTGGTTACGGGCGGATCAAGCTTTTTGCCAAAAAATCGCGCCGTTTTACTGTTTTACTTTTTGTCTTCTTCTTTTCCCCCTTTTTTCCCTTCTCCCCCTCCCCCCTTCCCCCTTTTTTTTTTCCCTCGGACGCCCAGGGGGGGGGGGGGGGCGGTTAAACCGCCGACCCCCTAGATCCGCCCCTAAGAAGCTATTGAAATACAAGAAAAGTTGAGAATCTTCTAAATGAAACAAAACACAATTCTCGTGATTCTTACAGGCTGCGCGTATTGTTGGTTCGTCCTATAATTTTTCCTTCATTAGGTGATATGCTACATCACCTATTGTGTTTGTACGAATCTTATTTATTTATTTATTATTTATTTATTTATTTATTTCTCCAACCGAATTTTGCCATCAATTATCTCAAAAAGTTGTATAAGTATCATCTTCAGATATTTACAGTATCTTTGGCGTCATCAGGAATCGTGCACCTCCTCTTTTTAGTGTGATCAGTCAACCATGACGTCATCCAGGCGCCATTTTGTGTGTTTACGTTATCATTCATATCTTCATAACCATTCATCATAAATTGCCCAATTTCAATACACATTAACTTCAGGTCATTGGTCAATACAAATTCAAAAATTTTACATGATTTGGTTTTCTCTTACCGTAATTGACAATTTCCATTAATTTCAGTCACTCTTGACCTTTCATAAGGCCGTGAGCGCGCGTCAAAGTTCAAAATCCGCGCGTGCTGCTATGGGTAATGTAATGCAAATTTGTTCAAAAACATGCCGTTTTAAAAATCAAAATAGCTCTTCAGATAGTCAATCGACCCCCAATTTTTATATCATGGTTGGAAAGAGCATGAGTTGGAAATATGATTTCATACCACTCTGACTCGTACAAAGTGAAACAAAGTCATCATAGTGGCATCCAAACTTTAAAAAAATGAATGTTGTTGATGACGTCATTTTTGTCTTTGTTTAATTGAGATTATCTCGCTTATCGGTGATCAATTTTCTCCCAGATTTTGATATGCTGTAGCTGAGATAATTCTCTACCAGAAATTTGGCATTTATTTTTCATTTGGATGACGTCATCATAGTGAAATATTCGATTATAGGCGACAATGCATAATTTGTCATATTAAATTTTGTGTGTTATGTCTATGGGAGGTCACTTTTTTCAAAACATGAATCTGCAATTATCTTTGAGCCGTATCTGGATTGTTATTGCGCCATTTTCTCCCCAAATTTAGTATTTTGTAGCTGAGACTATGGGCTATCGCAACGTAGCCTCCAATTTTGAATTGGATGTCGACAACATGGTAACATTTTCCAATTCAAAATATCAGAAGCATATCACCTTAATTTGTCAGCATGACAAATTACCTCTAGATAACTTTTGTTTCTCTGTAGGTTGCCTGAAAGACTTAACTGGTAGTTTTGTGCTCCTGTTCATTCTGGCTGCAGTCTTCACATCACTGTCTGTTGCCCTCACCGTTATCATCCTTATACTCAAGAAGCGGGAAGCGTTGTCCAACACTTCAATCTAGACTCCCTGGCTGATTCAGCCCCTGGATTCAGCCTTAATGAACCGAACTATTTTGCAGCGTATTAGGCCTACCAGATGACACAACCTATTAAGAAAGCCCCCAATTCCTATTTATCCTCAAAGGAACAATGTTAGAACCATTAAAAGTGGAATAAGCTAAACCTCGGACTATAGGTGGTGTGTGTGTGTGTGTGTGTGTATTAGATTTGTACAGACGTGTATCAATCAGATATGATTATTTACGTCTGGGGACCGACCTTTAAACGTCATCATCCGAAGACGTGACTCAGATTCGAACCTGCGTCCTCGGCTGAATCAGTTTGTAACTTCCACTTTTAGCTTGATTACAGGCGCACGCCACAACGCCTAGTTGGGCTAACTAATGTCCCTTTATAGAACACTAGGGCTAAACCCCTTTAGCCCCACCTATAGTAAAAAAAAAAAATTTAAAAAAAAGTTCAAGTTCAAGAAAATTTACAGAATGACTTTGATTTAATATGTAAATGGTTTGATATAAATAAGATGTTTAATTATACACCCTCAGAAAAGAAAAGAAAGTTGGAGAAAATCGTCTCTCAATTAAGTTAAATGGTAAAAATTACAGTGTGTCGAACCAAGGAACCTAGGAGTTATACTTGATTCACAACTTACGTGGTCTGAACATATAAAATATATAAGTACTAAGATATATCGTTTTATTGGATGTATTCGTCGTATAAAACGCCTAATACCCCATAAAACTCTTGTAAACCTCTATTTTGCCTTAATTTTACCACATATCGACTATTGTTGTACTGCTTGGGGAAACTGTTCAAAGACAAATTTATCGAAACTGCAAAAGTTACAAAATAGATTTGCGAGATTGATTTCAAATAAGGATTACGACACACCACAATGTACGCTTCTTACGACTTTAAATTGGCAATCGGTCGAACAAAGATTAAAATATCACTACTGTTTATTAGCTTTTAAAATTACAAATGTCATGGCCCAAACTTATTTAAAATCACTTATAAATTATCGCACCTTCAACTACTGTACCCGCTATTCTTAAAATTCTCTACTTGACATCCCATACCCTATAACCGAAAAAAAAAAAAAGATCATTCTCATATAAAGCAAGCACCCTATTTAATAAACTTCCTCCCTCAATTCAATCAACAGAATCAATTCAAATTTGTAAGCGCGGATACCAATTGGCAAAGCATTTATTATAGTCGAATCTCCGTTCTTATTTCCCTCTACCGGTATAATTATTTTCTTATGTTATATATGTTTGTACTCTATATTATGTCAAATATGTCAATGTTTAATTTTGATGACTGTTATATTTTTTTGTCTATATTCCTTGTATTTTTGTATATACATACTTGTCATGTATTTGGAAAGCAGTTTTGTTAAACTGAATGTACCTATTCTCTATTTTAAATATAACTTGAATAAATAAATAAATAATAAATAATGTTATCGAATAACGAAGTTCAGTAAAATCAAAATGCCATTCCCAACATACGATTATTAGTATTGAAAAGCATCTCGTTCATCTATTGACGTATGTATAAATGGTAGAGGTACAGTATGGTTTCTACCCCCCCCCCCCCTCCTCCTACCATGATTATTGTAGGGCACAGAATATGTAGATATGAAAGAATCAATTTTCTTTTTCAGAAACCTTTTCTGTATTCTACCTTGGAGATACATGTACGAATGTATATTATCTCCATGATTCTACCATAAAGGCCTATAGAGTGGTGAAGTGTGACGTCATCAAAAATCTAATTTTAGAATTTCTCAAATTTTTCTTCATTTTCCGAAAGAGCATCAAAAATAATTTCCAAATGTTGAAAGCCAATTGAATATGTTAAGTATTGTCTGAAATATGACCATCTGAATAAATATACTCCCCATAGGAGCTCACTGTTATATGCTCTGGCTCCTAAGTTCCCATTGGACATATATTTATTCAGATGGTCATATCTCAGCCAATACTTAACATATTCAATTGGTTTTCGACATTTGGACATTATTTTTGATGCTCTTTCGGAAAATGAACAAACAATTGAGAAATTCTAAAAATAGATTGTTATGACGTCACAGCTTCGGTACTCTATATACAGTAACCATTTGGGATTGATCGGATATATAATGTCTCCGAAAGAAATCTGGTCACCTCCTGAAAGTTGGACTTTATATCAATTATGATCGAGCTTTCTGCCCCTATATTTAGACATTTTATCTGCAGGGCAATCTGAAATATTTGCAGTTTCGTTTCGACAGCTGGAAATCCGTTTAGATCCAGCCAATTTTGACAAGAACGCAATGTGTAATACCGCCATCACCGTCAATAAGGTCCTAATGTTACAACATCTAACCATTGCTGATTACAATGGCGCAGCGCGGGTTCAGCCATTGAAGGGCACTGGCATGTGAGGGGAGGGGGGGGGGGCATCGATTTGTAATAAATTGCAATTATTCAAAGAAAAAATGCCATCGATTATGGGGGAGGGGGTGTCATATCATTTTATCAGGTTTACCTTCCCCTCTCCATTTATTTTCTTTCTTTCACCATTTGGTTGGGGCTTTTGTCTTCCGTATAGCTACGCTGTGATGCAATTGAATTTTAAGTTTTATTAGTTATTCCAATATATACAACATCTTCATTTCAAGCATGAATAGCTGGCACAAAGTATGGTTACAGGTGACATATTCTATCAAAGGATGATCGTTAACTTACATTTTGCGAAAGTGAACTAACTGGAAATAGAAAAGGGAAATTATTGGTTTTTGGAAGTTTGCAACTGTAATGAGTTTTAGCTGTATCAGCTTTCCATACTGTTACTCTAAAAGGTAAAGCACTATGTTGTTTCGCTAATAGACGGTTGTATATATTGTAAACTTCAAAATATATATCACGATTCTGCTTCGCGTAGCTAATGGATGTCGCCATCGTTTAGTAACCTATTATATTGCAATTAATCTAAACATATTATCCCTATCTCATTTATGATCTAAAGACCCTTAACAAAATTGAAGAGTTATATAATCTGTCCTTTATTGGGAGCATCGTTACCATGGTAAGCATACTACTAGGGACGGGTCAAAATGTCGCCGGTCTCTATACCGTAGTCTAATCATTATGAAGTACAGGCAGGATAGGGCACTCTTGATACACATTCATACATGCGAGACGAATGATAACAACTGAACAGAAATTTGTTTTCTAGGTGACTTTTAGATTCTGCACGACGAGAACGTGGACTGCCCTTTTAAGGGAATGTGACGTCCTTTTAAGGCACTGGCAGTGACGTCACATTGCCTTAAAAGGGCAGTCCGCGTTCTCCTCGTGCAGAATCTAAAAGTCCCTATTATTGGTCTATCTTTGGCCGTGAAGCTCGAAGGGACAATCAACAAAGAGAACAAAAGATGGCAACGTATTTCATCCTTGAGTAACCTTCGGCCTGTAGCGAACATCTTTGATCATGTAATTATGGCCGCCATCTCGGCTCCGTGGTGGTATTTTAATATGTCTGTTACATCAAGATGATCGATAACATCTCTAGAATCAAGACCTGTTTCAACGAATCGCAGGTATTATAACAACCAACCTGAAGAAATAGGGCATTGCCGTAATGTTTCGCGATCCCTTGAGATATAATCTGTAGAGCATGTAAACGTTTGAAACATCGGTTGAGAGCCAACATTTTAAGTCAGAATTGGTGCTAACGCCCTTTTGGCTCTGATCAAATGGAATATTCTGAGGACATTGTGATATGAGAGGATATATAGAGCTCCACAAACACCTAGTCTAACATTTATTAATACAGACCCATGTATTAGGTCAGAATTGGTACTTGTTTACAAATGCTTAAACTGTAAAAGAGACATCTAATTTGTCTTGAAGAACAGCGATGGCCTGTTCAACGCGTCGCCCGCCCGCCCGTCCAGCGCAATAGGACATACCCCGATTTCAAAAGCGTCGTAAAACACGAGGAACGATTAAATGTGCTTTATTGCAGCGTCCACTGGACATAACAAACATTAATAGCCCATGGTATCATGTTATCTAAATAGTATTATCTATTCGGACTGGCCTAACTGCAGGGAGACTGCCGCCTGAAAGTACACATGGAAATGATAATGTAGCTTGTTAAACTACAAGAGCAATGTCCACATTTTCTAACAGAATAATGTTCTGGGAAATAACAACCGACATGTGTTTTGAAGATCGCCTTAGACCATACGCATTAATTTTGCAAAATGCAGACCAGACAGAAACGCGGGTAAAAATAAGTCATAGCAAAATAGTAGTCCACTATTTCGACGACATCTATATTGCGGAGAAAAGAGTAGCGATGAATTTAATTTTTGGCTAATCAGTTCCCGGTCAAAGCCTTGAACAGAAACTCATCCACAATAACCTTTATGCAATAGTAGAATGTTTGTTTGGACGTTTATTTAGAAGTAATTAGCAGTATTTGATTATCATTCAAAATGAGATCAGATATAAAGTGGTGATTTTCGATACATTCAAGACAATTATTCACATTATGTCACTGACTAATTTTAGAAGAAAATAAATACAGGACCCAGTGTAATAAAGATTTGCGAATGGTCCGAATCATTCGCAAGTTTGCAGTCTCCTGTCTCGTATTTACCGCAACTGTTTACAAGACGAGACCAAGTATTGAACCCCCTCTCACCTTCAATTGAATTGAATTGAATTGAATTCAATTCAATTCAATTCAATTCAATTCAATTCTATCAATTTAATTTGATTTTATTCAAGTCCATTAAAAAAAAATACATTGAAAAACATTGTACATTGAAAACATATTTACATGTAGGATACACAGTATACATTGAACTTTAAACACACAATTAAAAAGAGAAGTAAAGACAAGAGTAAGAAATCAAAGAAATAGATAATGAACATGAAATAGAAATTGCAAAAGAACCAAATAAAGGTTCTGTGGAGGCAATCCCCAGCTTATTAAAATACCGAAATTTTTACTGATAAAGAATTAGAAAAGCAAGTGACATTATGGCAAAAAAAAAAGAGCTTAAAAGTTATAAAAGTTTAAAAGTTATAAAAGTTGGGATGGATTAATTATTTTGTAGAGTATGTGAATAAAAAAGATTTAAAAGAATTAAGAAACGATTTTTTTAAATATAATGAGGAAAAGAGTTCCATGTTGACGGTCCTTTTGATTTGAAAGCAAAAGATGATGCTGTATTTTTTATATTTTTCGACATAGTAATTTTCTGGATAATTATGCATTTCTGTTTTACATTTAATAATAGAGACAAAATTATATGGTAATTTGTTATGTTTATGTTTAAAGACCATAAATGAGATACAGTAGATCCGTGCCATTAGATCCGTGCCACTATAATAATATCATGTCGAAGAATTGTGTGTTGCGCCTTTTTCGATATACTTATATTTACTTTTTGATATATATAATATATTCAC